ACCATTTTTTTTTTTTTTTTTCTAGCACGAGGAAATCGGTTTTTCTATTTATTTCGTAACACGTTAATTAAGGGAGATATCAATCAAGTCGCTTGAGTGTCTTCTGGAAAATTATTTTTTGGACCTTGCACAGTAAAAAAAGCGAGCGAATAATCCGGTTGAAATTCGCCCCAAGGGAACCACTGATCGATAGCGTTTATTTCCGAGCAGTGTAAATAGATGAAAGACTAATTGAATCGGTGAGATCAGAAGCAACGTGATTCACGGATAGCTAACACTTGGGGAACGAGGAAAAATGACTTCTTTCCAAAATTAATGACGATCATATTTTTTCAAAATCTTCAGCAATGTAATCAGTGAAAATGTAATTTTTGTTATCCATAGTAATTGGTGATATTTGTTGAGGTTCTTCCGTAATATCGGTCTCTATTTAGGTAAAAGAAAACGCTTACAGACCACCGGGAAGGGCCGTTACGCACTGACTCCTTCCTTTGTCTACGCGACGCGCACGAAGAACAAACCGTTGAATAGAGATATCGTTATTCCTCGCTGGCACCATCAATAGATGCACAATCCTCAACAATATTTCATAATAAATGATATAATAGGATTTTTATTTCTCTGTAAATTTATCAAATTTAATTTACTTCATTTTCTTAATTAAAATTTCTTCGAAAAATTTCTGCTCATTTCTGTACATCGTTTGATGCAATTAAACGCGAGCACACGATTCAGCGGATAAAAATCGACTCGTATAATTTCTCTGACCTCACCGGTCTACTCCAAGAACCAACGAAACAGAAAAATGCTCGAATCGTTCGAATCGTCATTATCGAACAGTGACCAGCAACGGTGACAAACTCGAGTATCGAAAGCAACACGCCCCTATTTGATAACGATATCTCCTGGTGATGGAACTGGATCGTAACGAATGTAGCGGAAGACGGTATAGTTATGCAAAAAAATGCATGGCACAAATAAGCGTAGGTTCGTTAAATTAGCCGGCTATCCTTGGAATTCATTTATTTTCACGCGACGAGCTAGCTTTTCCTCTTATTCTCAGCGTTTATCGATGAATTTATTTTTCTATCGAACTAACTCCCAAGCCCCTCTACGTAGAAAATCATCCGGTTTAATTAAGCTGATATACGAAATAAAAATAAAAAAAAACAAGAAAAAGAAAAACGCCTTTTATCTGAACGACAAGTGTTTTTTCCGCGATATAAACGTGACAATTGTCCATCAGAAGCTCTAGCCCTAAATAACATAGGCGTGGCAAAATACGCAATGCCTGGGAAATTAATGCAAGCTTCATAATAAGTGGACACACCTCTGCGTGGCTTTTCACAAGGGCGGAATAGAACAAGCGATATACGTCTAGCGAATCAGCAGGATGAAATTTTATAGCGTTACTCGTTAATGCCCCGCTCTTCGGGGAAATTAAGAATGGAAGTCGGCATGTAAATTGACTCGTCGTATTCAGTCGGTTCAGTTGGCCGTTCGTTTTAACCAGGTTTAATTTATGAGGAATTCCACAAAGTGAGAAAGATAGGAATTCTCGCAGGAACAGTGCGTCTTCGACCGTAGAAATTCTTAAATTGTTTGAAAAAAAAAAGAGCCTTTTCTACAATCCGAAGAATGTTCTACGATTAAGTAGGATTAACGATGTGTCGTGAAGAAAAAACCATACGATATTGTTTATCGTTTCGTGTTGCCTGGATTTTCAAGCATTTTTATCTGGAACTAGTCCGATCATTTTTATTTCATTGTTTCCAGGGAGCAAAGGACTTTCATGTCGCTATCAGGAAAAGTATCTGTGTTTAATGTTTGAAAGAACGTTTTCACACAAGAATTGTGTAGAGTGGAAGACAAATTTGTAACGTAGAAAGCTAATTGAAAGGGAATGTTTATAATACTTTTAGAATGTTGTATCGTTGCAATTAAGGATTTGCAGAAGCTTCGCGAACAAGAAAATGAAATACATACTCAATCCCAAAGATTTCTATCTCAAAATTCCTCCCCAAAATTTCCGATCATTTCGTTCGCCTCTCGATGAAAATGAAAAAATTACAGTTGTATAGAATTTTGATCTCGATTCCTACAGAAGTTATTAATCCTGAAATTTCTGACGTACAATTCGTACAAAATTTCGCATAATTTTACAAGCTCGTCAAATTCGAATACACTTGCTCACCTGTAGATGTTTTTGCGTAAGAGTGATGTCTTCCACGTCGATTTCGTAAGTGAAGATCGATCCTGAACAGTTTGGCATGCCTCTGTGAACGTTTAGAATAATCTCCGCCAAGAATCCTTGTTGCATAATCGTGGACAAAGAGTAGTTCGAAACATGATCGAATCTCGGCTCGCATTTCCCCTTGTTTATGTTAAAAACCGTATCATACGAGCAACATCTGCTGATATTCAACATTCTCTTCGTTGCACTTATTGTACTCAATTCGAATGGCCTGTCTCTCATCGATTTACAGTACACGACAATGGGAATACTTTGGCGAGTGGTTCGCTCGTACAGAATGTCGAAACAATACGGTTCCTGCAAACAAAATAAGAAGAAAACCTTTAAAATGTATTCGGTCTGGCATGCAAGTTGTTCGAGGAATATGAAGTGTAACAACTATTTGCAGATACGTTACTAATAGTTCTTCGTAGATATTTAATTAGAGAATCATCAATATACATGATTGCTGCTTAACGTTCAACAAATGAAATAAATTCGACAAATTTCGACAAATCTTTGGCTTCTAAATTACTATTACAAAGTATGCAACTCGAGATTCATTTCAAACGAATTCATTCTCCCTCTTTTATCTTCGATTTCCTTCGACACATTTCCATTTAAACCCCTTCGTTAAATATTCCCCTAAAATTTTCCAACTTTTCCAATTTACACGAAAATAATTGAGAAAACACGCGGAGAATCGGTATAAACAATTCGTTACAATTCCCTATCCCAATAAATTCGTTCTCTGTCATTGAACGTACCGGGAGGGCTGAACGTATCGATTAGACGAACAGAAAATGGTACGTTCGAGCTAAACAGCAGTATTACAGTATTACAATCGATCAATCGCGTGGTATAGCTAAAAAGCACTAAGAAAAGAGGTAACACAGCCTCAATCAATTTTCGCGCGTCGTGTTCCGTTCGCGTGTCCGGTTGCGAAAATTTACGGCCGCCCGTGAAGTTTCAACGGCGAAACGACCAAATACCGTCCAGTACCTCTATGAAAGTGGTGTGTTCGAAATCGGAGAAGTACATGGTCGAGATGTCCTGCGACTCTATGCAGTTCGGAATGTGAATGACGTTCTCCTCGCTGTGATCAACATTCGCGATGTGAAGTTCCGTGGCGTGTAAAGGCGCTGGGACGCAATCCACCATAGTTACGCCAGAGAAAACTTCGCCGTGTGGGCAGCATTTCTTCGACGAAAATGACGTCTCTACTAACATCAACAGCAAGAAAATCAAGCTTCTCGTCATCGTGAACGAACCGCACTTCGAACGTTTCGAAACTGATCCAGGGATCGTTTCGTCGATCTCACTGAACATGTTGAAAATCGTACTGTACTTCACTTTCGAACGATTACTATATCCACAGGCTACAAAAATCCTAGCCTGGTTAAAAACTTCTTTCGACACTGAACGAAAACTTGCTGTTCGATAGACACTTTTATATCCCTCATTACACAGCACGAATTTCTCCGAACGAGAAGCGCTAGCGGAGAATATCTGGTTGGACCGATTGAGAAAAATTGGCCAGATCGTAGATATGGTAGGCTATTCGATAAGAATCAGAACCGCTGTTGCTCGTCAATACGGTTCCCCACAAGCTCAGAAGCACGGAGAGGATTCTCCGGCGATTGTTCGAGAGCTTGGCTCCGACAGAACACTTGTGCCTGATCCTCTTCGGACGTACGGATCTTCCACGAATCAGGAACTAAAATTAATCTGTTGTTCTACGCGGAACAAATTTCGTCAAGTTTCTCCTCGACTTTGTCTATCTTTATAGTAATTCGTCGACTGATCGTTCGTTTACCACTTTAATCTACACACTCGTTGGTAGGATTGTTTCGTAAAGAGCCAGCTAGATCTTGCTGGACGTGGAGCAACGAAGGGAAGATCAATGGTTGAGACGAACGTAAGATGGTAACGACGACAAATTTTGCAGTCAAGTATCGTTTGACGAGTTGAAATTTGCTCGAAACAAGGTTTAAACAAGCTCGTGCTGGATTAACAAGGTATCGACGCGTTCTGAAACGTATGATCGATACTAGCTGTTGTTCGTTACTCTTCCCCGTTGAGTTCGGCTCGCCGGTCCCAGCGGTAATCTTCAAGTGATTCAACGTAAGCCATCTCTGGTCGATTAAATCGTCGCTTCCGTTGCATAATGCAACGCGAGGCACACACGCAGCTGCAACCTGGGAATCTCCAGAGGCAAGTCCAGACAATTATAAAGGAGCTATCGTTCGGAATTAGCTGGCACGTTTCGTCGAAGGTAATCTTATTGGCAGAGGCGGAGCAGCCAGTTTCAGGGAAAACTTAACCTATAACGTTCGTAAAGTATTCTTGGTTCGATGACCAAAATTATTCTTATTACCTCGATCCCTCGAGCGTTCCTCCTGATTGATTTCACAATCTGAATCCTTCGCTGTTCTTCCCCCACCCCCCGCCGCCGCAGCCGCGCAAGATATAACACTTTCCTCTCAGCCGCGTTTCCTTCTCAAGATGTTTCGTCGCTTATTTTTCCAGCGTATTTCGTCTTACTCCACCTACAATCAGAACGTTCCTTCGAGTGTTGCTCACGTTTCAATTCTTCTCCGTGAGTTGTTACACGCTCTGCGAACTTCCACCGGAGAAATATCGTTACAATTCACTTGACTTTTCACGCCGAGTAATCGATACGTTCGATTGTTACGTTGTAGCGATAAAGCATAGATAAATAAATGATTCAGCTGAATATTTATATTCCGCACGGGAACGTAACTTCTCCCGTCTACTTCTCGTCTACTTGCGCCGCGTTATTATTCCGCTGCATCACTTTCCTTTACTCCAAAGGTCCCTCAATCTCTGCCACCCTCCGCCTGAATTTATTACCACTTTACACCCTTCTTTACGTCGCACTTTACTCCCCTTGAATTACCATTATTCCACCGCCGCCTCCACTTTCCATTGCGAATCTGTCACGAGCTCTAATTATTTCAATAACACCTTCCGTACCCTTTCTTGCACTCTTCTTTCGATCCCTCC